TTACTTGATAGATCTTGATGTAGACATTGGGATTATTAAGGAATCTAAACTCTGAAGAAATTTGAGACTAAGACCTAGTGATAATTATTCTTGGTCACATCAAAGGAAAAGCTAAGTGTTAAGGCGAAGCGCTACCCGAATCTTGAAGTCATCACTGTAATGAGTGAGTGCCTAGTTACCTTTGACTTACACATAGATATGAAGTATCTACATGATTAAATGTTATATGTGCCAAATATTTGTGTTTCTTAATATATATATATATGCTAGATGAAATGATTTTTACATGATTCAATTTGTATATGTATTCTTATACCTACAATTTGGTCAAAAAGGGATGAAAAAGATGATATGACGATGAGATGAGAGGCCTTGACATATACTACTATTTGTGTTGATGATCTAGTCGTCTAACATATTATAGATGAAGACCACAGACTATTCTACAGTGGAACGACGGTAGGATCGCAACCTATAGGTGTTTTTATGTGTTTATTGATGTACTCTAACTCCTAGTGGTTGCCTTGTTGACACTTATTGTCGATGAATCCCCGAAGTAGTATTGTCTACCCCGTTCCTTTCGATGATCATTAAGATATGTCCCTTGAGATCAATATTCAGGGTCAGAATGTGAGAATAACGGAAATGGATAACGGGTTGAATTGTTTGATGAAAAGAATTTCATTCAAGAATTTAACTATTGTGGGTTGAAAACCCTATGTGCTCAACGGACTTTCTGAAACATGACTAACACAGTTTCTTTGTATCACAGGTAGCAATATGAAATCACAGGTGTTATGAGTTTGAATCTGATTAGAGATTTATGGAATCATGTTTTTGGAGACAAATTCCACATTCATACTTCTCTAAAAATGAATATTATGTATTAAATAAGCATAAATAAAATGGTCTTTTCTAGCCGTCAAATTGGGGATGTAATACTGGCTAATAATATATTTAAGGTATCAAAAGATCAAGTGATACTTATCCTCTTTTAAATTTATGACCTAATTAGCTGATTTTAATTAAAGCAAAAAGATATTATCTACTTCAAATGGAAATTACAAGAGAATCCATATGGTCACCAAAATGTTTAAGATAGTAGAAATAAAATATGGGGCAGATCATGTAATTTTCAAATGAGATTTTTTACAACTCGGTCACTTTACATGTATTCATAAACAATATATTTTTGGTTGAACACCAAATGATTTTTGCATAAATAACAGATCAATTGGCATGTGAAGCAACGATAACCATTCTATTTAATACAATATGATACAACTTATTTCAATTATCGATATTCCAAATATTTCTAATTTTTTTTCCTAATCGTAAATTTCAAGTTCATTTTCTTCCGTAGTTCTCAAACTAGGATGATATTAAGAAAAGATTCCAATAAACGTAGAAATGTGAATTTATTTATTCGATATTTAGAAAAAGTTTTAATTAATCATTACCTTCCAAGTTGAAATATGACTAAAATGGCAATAATTAGTAACATATTTTTTATTTCCTCTTTGATTTTTTATTGATAATCATAACATTTCACTACTAGAATACTCGAAATTAATGGACGAATCTATCACTGTTGTATATTAGCACAAGAAGTCTTATCGCTAACTAGATATCAAGTTGGAATAAGTAGTAGCTTAGTAGTAGATTAGATTTTTCGTTAAAAAAACTATACATCATGGTATTTAGGTATATTGAAGAAATAGTCAAACATAGAAGGTCATTGTTGAATTTTCAATATCCATTATTGTAATGTTTCAGTATTATCTAAAAACAAAATATAAATATATAATGTTAGTTAAACATTAATTAGAAAACAACAAAAACAAAATAGAAAGTCATGCACAAATACATAATTTGTTTTTATGTAAAAAATACATAATGGACTTACCTATCTACATATATCCTTAAAAAAGTATACATGACTACAATAATTGCAATTGAGATTTCCTTTTTTCTCAATATAAATATCTCCATCACCACTATTCTAGATATCGTGCCTCACATATAGCTATCGTTTGAAGATGGCTATCAACAAGCAGTTGTTACATTTGCTCATTTTTGTTTCCATTTTCAGCCTAGGTTTGGATTTCTACGACGTAACGATATTCTTTCTTTGTTTTATAGCTAATATCTTTTGGATAATTATAATTTAGTTTTGACATGTTTTTTATGTAGGTATTGGTACGAACGACAACAACAATGGAACAACAAAATATGAGAGGATGAAATCAAATTCTAATATTCATGGTTCAGGCACTAATGCGTTTAAGGGTGTATGTGTAACTACTCCCGTGTGTAAAGGACTCCCGGTCCACATTTGTTATTGTTGTCTTGGACCAAACAAGAATATTTGTTCGCCGTCGTATGAAATGTGCAAAAGATATTGTTCTATAACCAAATGGGACGATTAATTGTAATAATGTCATTACCATAACAAATAATATAATTTCCCTTGTTCTTTATATGTTAGAGTTATAAATATATATTCAACAATATATTCTCGCGACTTCACAACCGTTAAGGTGGTTTAATGATGATCATTCCTACTCTAATAAATAAAGGTTTTTTTGTCACATGTCCTCTTCTCCTTCATTTTTGACACATGACATTTTCTAGAATTTTTAAATTTTTTATTTTCCACTTGTCATTTTATTAAATTAAAATTACAAATTTAATATGTAAGGTAATATATATATATATATATATATATATATATATATATATATATATAAGGTATTTATTAAAAAGGGTTTATATATGTAATGTATTAAATACATTAAAACCTCATTAATTTTAATAATTCAAAATTTTTCTCAGTTTTTATATAAATGCAAACATTTTAAATTGTTAAAATTTCATATTTAATTTTTTTAAAATAAACTCATGTAATACATAGATCTCATACCTAGTTAATAATATACTACACTAAGAAGAGTTGTCCCGGTTTTGAATCTCACATTGTTGAACTATATGAAAGCCTAGAATTTAGAAATATATTGTTCGCATACATCCCTTATTAAATGTGGTATAAGTGATGATATGTCACTTTTTTTGATAAATGAAAATGTGGTTGACTTCAAGACAAGTGTTAAAGCCCACTAATTTATTATAACAAGAAAAATATTTCAACAACATACGTATTTCCATTTTGTAAATACACTATTGTTAAACTTTATGAATAAGGAGGGTGTAACGTTACTCATAAACTTTTGTTACAAATAAACTATCATTATTTTAGTTAGAATCTATATTGTTAGCCTTGATAAACTATCATCAGATAAATAAAAATAGTGCCTAAATATGAGTTTGTTCTTTTATTAGAGGCTAACATACATATAACAACAAAAAGAATGACTTTTTCTTAATAATATTTACCATATTATAATACTTGCATCATAGCTAGTTCTATCAATTTTAAGACTTGATCTTAAAAACATGCAGATGAAAGAGAGGCATATGATAATGATATGATTGGTACCAGTGGCGGACGTAGACTGTTTTAGTGGGGGTGTCCCTCGTACTTCAAGCGGGTGCACCTAATAGAAAAAACCAAAAAAAAAAAAAAAATTTACACTGTGTGCCGGAAATTGAGCAGTTGCCCGGGACCCCAAATGCCCCAAATATGTCCGCCGCTGATTGGTACATAGTACTAGAAAACATAGGAATTTATGCTGAACAAACCCATCAATTATTAATCAGAAAACCCCTTTACCAATAGAATTCTTGAAGAACAATCCATTTGAAAAAGCATGTGGGTTAGAGTTTATGAAAAATAGTTTTGACAGTTTACGAAAAAAATATATTATCAAAAATTAGACCATCAAGTCGATTACATTCGACAGATACTTTTAATAACGTATTATTCATAAATTATACGATTTTTAAGTGATTTAATTTTGTCGGTAATCCATTTGAAATTGTTGGGACTTGATGGGAAAACACACACATACACACACAAACACATACACACACATATATATATATATATATATATATATATATATATATATTATAATTGTTGTCATAATTAATTTAACTACTTATAAAATGTGTTATATGATAAATTAAATTATTTTGGGAGTTACTGACCCTCCTTGGCAAAATCCAAGGTGGCTTCTTGTAGGGGCGGATCCCTTTAGGGGCAAAGGGGGTCATGGTCTCCCCGCTTTTCAGCCTACTTATACCTGATTATAAGTAAATTTAAATTATTTCTTGCATATTAAAAAAAATGAAGTTTTGGAGAGATTTGAAATGATCTGGACAACAGAAAAATAAAAACAAGAAGTTTTGTGAATAACTAAAAAACCTAATTTAAAGGAAATGGATACACGAAAAAGGCAAAAATAAAATATGATATTTCAAACTATCTGATAACCATAAAAAAGAAAAAACAACTAAAAAATCTCAGAAGAATGTACTGAAGACGCCACTCTTCTCGTCCTCTCCGTCATTTTCGATTTTTTCCCCGATCTCGTCATCATATGCGAGCTCCGGTCTTTGCGACTCCAACGTACTTGCTTTGGTTACCGTTTGCAGCCTCACTTACTTGTAAGTCCACAATACATACTTGTTCTTTGTATCTTGTTCCTTCTTGTTGGCTGCTTTAGGGTTTTTTTTATTGTGTAGTGATGTTAAGCGGAGCAAAGAGTACAACATATTGTGTGTGTATCTATATATGAATTGCTTTTTCTATTCAACACTAAAAAGAGAAGTACATCTGGCTCTGCATCCTATGAGCTATATATTAGCTTTTGACTTTTCTTTTCAATAGGTTTGTGATAAATGCAAATACTTCTTAATAATTATTAGAAATATAAGATAATGAGATGTCTTTAGACTTAACAAGACGTGTATAAACCATTTTGTTATGTTTATTTGTTTTGTATCTCAATCTTGTGTTATTGTTTAAATGTATAGACAAGATTTGAGGAGATTACAAAAAAATTATTAGAAAACCGTTTAGAAAAAAAATTATTATGAGGGTCTTTTTTCAATAAGAAAATACTAAAAAATTAATTAAGTCAATTGTTAATTTATCTAGACTCACAAATCTTGTTGGTAATTGTTGGAAACGTATTAATAACCAAAAAATATAAGAGTATTATGACATGTTACAATTTAACTAAAATTAAACTCGTTTATACTTGTTTGCTTTGTAGTTTTGGTTCCGGCCCCCCTCACATTAGTGCTTGTGTTCCGCCACTGCTCTTTGCTCCGCTTAACATCACTACACAATAAAAAAATCCCTAAAGCAGCCAACAAGAAGGAAAAAGATACAAAGAACAAGTATGTATTGTGGACTTACACGTAAGTGAGGCTGCAAAGGGTAACCAAAGCAAGTACGTCGGAGTCGCAAAGACCGGAGCTCGCATATGATGACGAGATCGGGGAAAAAATTGACAATGACGGAGAGGACGAGAAGAGTGGCATCTTCAGTTACATTCTTCTGAGATTTTTTAGTTGTTTTTTTTTTCTTTTTTATGGTTATCAGATAGTTTGAAATATCATATTTTATTTTTGCCTTTTTGGTGTATTCATTTCCTTCAAATTAGGTTTTTTAGTTATTCACAAAACTTCTTGTTTTTATTTTTCTGTTGTCCAGTTCATTTCAAATCTCTCCAAAACTTTTTTTTTTTTTTTAATATGCAAGAAATAATTTAAATTTACTTATAATTAGGCTGAAAAGCGGGGAGGTCATGGCCCCCACTGGCCCGTAAAGGGATCCGCCCCTGCACGTCCCTGAAATGATTTCTGCTCGACGAGTTGGATTCCCAACTCGCCGAGTCCACACCAACACCCTAGATCTTACATAAATTAAGTAATACTTCCAGGTGTTACATAAAAGAATCTTATATTTAAAAAAAAAAAAAAACATGTTATTTATTATTATATAAGAGTTAGAGGAATCTTAGTCGAAAGTTTAAACATGGTGTAGAATTATGATTATGTTAGTTTGATAGTTGAACACAAGTAATTATAAAAAAGTCAACAATATCTGCCATTCATTAACGTGTAAGGAAGATTTTACAATGATAAAAAAAAAAATTGGTTTCTGTTGTAGGAGTTGGATCATTGCTGCCCTTATGAACTTCATAAAAAATATGACCAATTTATGATCTTATAAGTTAGAAAGAACATTAATTTCAGTAAAACATTGTATGATTATGTTAAAGATGAAATTTCATATACGTAACTTATATTTGGATGACCAAATTATGCCACACCAGCACTTCTTGTATAAAATTTGCCCTGAAATATTTTGTTTTTGCTTTAGGTATATAGCCAAAGTCAAAACCATCAAAACATACTTTTCCGTTTTTTGTTGAATCTTGAACTGGGATTATTCATTGACATGAGTGATTGTGAAGTCAAACATCTTGATAGATTATTAACCAAATATTTGCCTTTATTTATTTTTTAATGAATTTAACAGTAAAACTTAATTAAAATAACACTATTTGTTCTCACTTGAAGAAGTCAAAAATAGAATCAAGTTACATACCTCGTAATCCACAAAGGCACCAGGTATTCCACCTATGTTATGTAGCTTGACAATGTTAAATGTAGGATGCCTATAACCAAAATGCATAATACAGGTCATCATCATAAAGTTGAAATGAAGAAAACTAAAAATCCCAAAATCCGTCAATACTTACTTGGGAAAAAAGGTTTTAGCTCATCTTTGGAACAATTGGGATCTAAATCTAAAATAAAGAAAGTCCAAAAATGCTCTATCAGTTGTATTTTCTGCCTGGTCTGTATTTACAATCAAGCAACACATCAATGACACGGAATGAAGCAACTACAATGTAGTTCATCATTTTATCAATACACTCAGTTAACCTTTTATTATTATTATTATTATTATTATTATTATTATTATTATCATAGAAATACCTTCATGGATATGTTGATTAAATATAATCATGAATTGAATTGAATTAAAATCATTGATGGAATAATGTGTATGTAAGAATAAAACAAATTCAAAGATTTACCTACCTCTTGTCTGATTACCTGCTCCTCTTAACGAGCTTCATGATCTTTTTTATCATCATCATCTTTGTTCTCTACCTCCACAACCTCTTTGTTCTCTAATTGATCCAACACCCCTTTAGCCCTGTGAAATGTTACGATGACATTCTTATTCTGCCACCTCTCCTTAACCCTACATGAAAATTCAAGGAATGTCATTATATTTATAACAAAAATAAGAAGTATGATGCCATTCCATAAGGATTTCTACAATAAGATTAAGCATCTAGGGTTCATCAGGAAAATTGGAATCCTTCTTAAACACCATTCAATAGTTAATATACATAAAAAAAAGAACCAGATTCTAACCTACCTGACAGTTTCCATGTGATGAAACTTGAACACATTTATCTCTCTTTCTTTTTATCCAGTAGTCACTACCATTTCTGCTACCTAAGCATTTTGCTTTTACGACAATTTTCTCTTTACTCCTTCCGTTCTACTCCATTATTGTCATGGATCTTAAAACCGCCAACCAACTTCACCATATTAAAAACAACAATGAATCCATCTAATAAACCAATACAAAATACCGTCTTGAAGTCATAGAAGTCAGGTAAACTGATGCTAAGTAAAAAGAATAAGCGAGGTAGTCATTTCATCGAATACCTGGTGGGTGGCGGTCACAACTTCATCCTTCATAGCAAAATTATGATACGATATACATACGAAATAGCACTAGAGTAAAGTCAAATAGCCCCAGATGAGCTAACAGGGGAAGAAAAATAATTAATAGTTGAACTAATTGAAAGAAACAATATCGAACCTGGACGGAAATACCAGAAGTTTCAAAATTGAAAATCATAAAAACAAAACCCAGTTTCTGAAATCCTAAATCAAAAACACGACCCTGAATTTCAACTGGGAGAGGCTTAGAAAAAGGGGTGAAACACCGGGATGGCTGCAAACACCGGTTGCAATATCCGACTGGAAAGCCATCCGAGTTGCCCTGCCAAAATATGACCCTGAATTTCACCCGATGCTTGATAATGCAAAATCTTTTCAAAAATAAAACACATCATCACCTCAATATCGGTAAGGAACCATCAAAATTGATACCCATCAAAGGAATCACAAATCTACAGGAAGCCATCAAAGGAAGAAAATGGTGGGTTGAAGAGAAAACGATGAATAGCAGAAGGAGTGAAAAAATTAAGGAGCGCCTGGTGGTGCAAGAAAAGGGCGTGTCGGAGTGATGCAAGAAAGAGGAGCGCCGGAAATCGCAACAGACGTGGAAGGCTTTCCGGATGAAATTGGGAGCAAATTGACATAAGAAGAAGGGGGCAAAGTCAAAGGCTCAAAGGCGGTGGAGAGGAAGTGATAAGAGGCTAAAGTGGCAAAAGTCTAAAAACAGAAAGCTTTGGTGGCCAAAATCAGAAGTGGAGAAAATTTCCTGTAGGCAAGCACCCCACAATTAAGGTTATCAACTATAATAAATGAAGATTTATTTTACCACGTGTCAATCTTTCATGTATTTTCACATTTGTCATTTTATTATATTTTTTGAAATAAATGGTATCCACAAGTCAACTGTATCAAATCCCAGCTGCTTACATTCCTGTTATCGTCATACAATACAATTTATTAGGGTAGAATTGGAAGTCAAGAAATAAGTGAAATGTGATTTGACATTTTGTGAGTTGTGACAATAGCTAAGTACCTGTATATACTCTTTAAAAGAAGATGAACATTTTTGAAGTAGATATTCAGCCCAATCACATGTACTAACATATATATCATGTTCATGGGCTAATTTTGTTGATTCTTTAATGAAAACTCAAGAAATATTGTAGAGTTGTAGTTGCCTCTGTTTCATTAACACTATATTCCCCATCACAAAGAAGATAAAAAAGGACCCCTGTTGGATACGTAAAAGGAAATCACTAACCACAGAAGGCATTAGAAAGAATTGATGTTATCATTATTCATGAATACGTAAAAGGAAATCACTAACCACAGAAGGCATTAGAAAGAATTGATGTTATCATCATTCATGAATACGTAAAAGGAAATCACTAACCACAGAAGGCATTAGAAAGAATTGATTGATTCTGTGTGTAGAGCTGAAATAGACGCAACATGACGTCGAGGGGTGTTCCGTGACGTTAGCGAGAGCGGGACGTTTCTTGGTCAAGTGAGGCGGCAAAGCCGTTGATTGGCCGACGACATTCTCCAACGCCTGCCGCTTTGCAAGTGACGACGTCGTTACAGAAGCTTTCGGATTGGCGTTGCGGTCGACATCACTGAATGCAGCAAGAAACCCGGAAAAGAAAAGAAAGAAAGAAAGAAAGGAACCCTAGAAAGAAAACCCTAAAATTCAACGACGTTACAATGCGATGAGTATGCGTATTTTGGAGTAAGCGATGAGCGTGCGTATTTTGGTGTAAGATGATGTCAGCAACACGATCCTAAGGTGGAAAGCTAAGGAGTGAAAGCAATCAAGGGCCCTTGTTTCTTCAATTTAGAATTTAAGGTTATTTTTTAATAATATTCAGAGATATCCAAAATTAACAATTGATATCTATTTATTTAAAGGATCCGTTTTATTTGTATTCCTTATTCAAAAGCAGCTTCCATCGTTATAGACGAACGTCCGTAACTTAAATGGCCTTTTAGAAGAATTGAGTTCCACCAAGCCACGAAGCAGTTCATCAAGTTAATTACAGGAGGCATCCATGGAAAAGAAATAGTAGGGCGACGATCTTAAAAATCAGAATCGAGAATTGATCCACGACGATTTCTTAAGGATTACACCTCATCATTCCTAATGTGTGAATTCAATTCGCAAGTTTAGAAATTCAATTATTTATAAAGTCTTGTAGAGGATTAACGTAATCCAATTTTCATATTCGGTAGATGAAACATCCTTGCACCAGGTCCATATTTTTTTATATGGTTATGCAAATCTTATTCAAAAATCTTTTTGAACTACAATATTACGACTCATTGGTTTTGAATTTTACTGCTTAAGGTTAATATTAAGTTGTTAAGGTTGTTGAAAAAGACCTCTTTAATAATTGTGTGTTAAATTTATAACATGTCCATGCTAATCTTTTTTTTTCTAAATAAAAATAATAAATTTGTGGAGGATCATCCAACTACAATGCAAGTTCATGTTTTGCATTTATTAGTCCTTTATGATTTGATTATATCTATCTATTCCACGGTTGCAAAAATCGTTTGACGGTAGTTCGGCAATCGACTGGTCAAGGGATTAATCGGCTATGCGATGATTAATCGGGGACCATTAATTATTAATAAATTATTACAAAATTAATAAATATAACATTAATCCTAAGAATATAACATTATATCAATTAAAAAATTTATTAAAAAATTAATAAATATAACATTATAAGAAGAGAAAATGTAACACTAATCCTAAGAATATAACATTATATCAATTAAAAAAATTATTAAAAAATTAATAAATATAACATTATAACAAGAGAAAATGTAACACTAATCCTAAGAATATAACATTAAATATTGTTTCTAGTACAACAACTTTCCCAAACAATGATCACCATGGCAACAGTATGTGCATACTCATTTTGACATTTCTAGATTGTCACCTACTTTGTACAGTAAGATTGTCACCTACTTTGTACTTGTAGGTTGTAGCAACATATAAGGGATTCAAGGATTGTGAGAAACAACTTGAAGAGTCCAAAGGTTTGGTTCACTATATTGTCCTTTGTTTATGGTTTCCGTGAGTTGGATCTGTTAAAGTAATAGTTGAGTTTGTGTTGTTATTTTTGCAGTTAGGGCTGGTACAGGTGGCAAAGAGGCTGGGTTGTGGGTTGCTGACCTTGTAGGTCCTACATAGAAACATAACAATAACATGGGTCAGATGTGTTTTTGGGCATTTTGGGTTATTCTTAACTGCTTATGCATGTTAACTTATGAATTCAGTTAATATATAGGTTCGTATGTACTAGAGATACAATGAACGAAACTCATTGAAACCTTATGATATAAACTCATCACCCCTATAACTATAAGAAATAGAATTGAGTGATAGATGTAAGAATTAAGAAGGATATGTGAGGAATATGTATATGATTCCAGGTTCTTCAGCTAATGCCCTCAGTGTATCGATGTCATCTTAAGTATAAATTCCTTAAATTAGACCACTTGATGATCGCTTACCAGACAAGTATGCAACAGATAAATTGTGGTGATTTCTTTTGTGAACTTAGAATTCTGAGAAAATGTAAAGATCATAATAATCCAAGATACCAAGTTTCTTCTAGGTATTTCATCGAACATCCTATAGGCGTACCCGTGTCGAAGCAATTGATACATGGCAATACATAATGTTTGTAAATTAAAATCAAAATAAGTTTCAATTGCATATAACTAACCAAAATTCGTAATCATAGACAACAACCATACCTGTTTAAGGAGCTGCTGAGGAGGAAGCAAGGATCAGCAACCGATCTAGGCTTCAATGGCTTCAATTGTGACGGTGGGCTTCAATGGTTGTGGAAGTTCAATATTGGCTTCAATGGCTATGGAAGTTTGATGGTGAACAACGGTGGTATAAGGATGAGGTTCGACTGTAACAATGGTTTATGTGGGTGTTTGAGTTTTCTTTTTAACAGGTGGTTGAAGGAGGTCTCGATAGTGGCTTCAATGGATGTGGAAGTTCGAAGCTGGTATCTTTAGTGAAATGGTGCGATGGTAGAGGAGGCAGTCGCTAAACATGGAATGAATTTGGTGTTTCTAGTGAAGAAGGAGGGTTGTATAGATGGTGTTCGATAGAGTTGTGAACCAACGACAACGATATGTAAAGATGTATAGAATTGTTAAAAGTTAGGCATCCCACATCGCTAGTGGGATAATGAATGAAAGCACGCATATATTATAAAAGGAGAGCTGGATCCTTTGAAAATCAAACCCAACTATGTGTTAGGTTAGCTGGCTCCATTGAGCTGGTGGTTAGCTGGACCGACTTGGCCCGAATTGGCGTTCGATTTGGATCGGATTTGACCGATATTGACCAAGGGCGATTAATTAATCCTCTAACACCTATTTGTAGGCGTTTTGAGGCCGCCAAGCGCCTAGGCGCCGATTAATCGGCTGCCTAGACCGATTTTTGCAACACTGATCTATTCTAATAAATGAATTTTTTTATCACATGTGACATTCTCATTCAATTTGGCAAATGTCATTTTATAGTTATTTCGAATTAATTTTTTTTCCACATATCATTTTATGGGTTTTCTTATTTTATTAAATTTCCTATAATGTTTTAATGTAATAATTGCAATAAATATAGTAATAAATGAATATCAATTTCATTAATGGACTTACCTTCAAATTCTAATGAGTAAGGCATGTTATATTTTTCAGAATGGCTTGGAGAAGGAATCAAATATTGATCATACAAGAGAAAGACTTGGAATCGAGTTCAACAAGTATACTTGTGAAGAATTTCATTCTTAGATAATACATCATATTTTTGTAAGAATAGTTGAAATCAAGTGGATTATTTGGTCCATTGAAGAAAATCAAGTGTGTTTGTTCAATAATTGTGTATTTAATAATGTTATTTTTTTGAGAATTTTATTCATTTTTTATTATATTATGATAGAATATGTATAACTATATTAAAATGTATAAGACTATTAGTCTGTCAGAATATATATAAATTTGTATTTATATTCAGATGTATATGAAGAATAAAATCATAGACCCTCATTCTTACTTGGATGTATATGAAGAATATGTAGAATTCTTAAATCGGGTTAATTAAAAAACATATATGAATTGGCCGTTTTGGTTTCTACATGGACTCGGCGAGTCAGTGAGATGACTCAATGAGTTAGTTTGGGTTTTTCCCGACATTTTGGACACCACATGGACTCGACGAGTTGTCCGGAAACTCAACGAGTCAACTGGGGTTTTCATGGTTTCTCGAGTTCTGAAGGAACTCGACGAGTTATGGGCTACACTCGACGAGTTGGGTCAACATGGACTGTTAACCTTGACCGTTGACTTTGACTTTGACCTAGGTTTGACCAGTTTGACTTCTGGGGGTATTTTGGTAATTTGGAAATTTATGGAATTGGATCATTGATGGATGTAGGTGATTGAATTTGGATTTGTATTTGGGGAGTTTGACATTATCATCCCGAGCTACTTGTGAGGTGAGTTCTCCTCACTATATCACCAAGGTCTAAGGCGCCAAGGCCAGCCCTTTTTGGATTTGTATCCGGGTTTATTGCATGATATGCTTATTGATTTGCATCCTGGTAGTTAGGATGGTGATATGCTTAGTGACCTGTTAGGTCAGTATCCTAGTATATAGGATGATGCTATGTTAGTG